CTCAGGGACACCACTCCCCAAGCCATCTACTGAAACTGGACTGTACAAGTGTTGCTACTTGTGGGGAGAAAAATAACTCCTCATTTAATGTAAACCACACAAAGAACTGCCTAATTTCCTAGAATCTTCATCCAGAACTCAAGTGATTTTTATAATGATTTCCTCCTTCATAGGAAACTGTGGCTACAAGTTAGTATAAAATAATTGCTTTTCTGGGTTCATATACCTGAAAAACATTACTGCTCAATGCTTTATAATAAATATGTATAAAGGCAGGGTTATTAGAAAACCTCTAAAAATATTCCTGGATAATCAATTAGGAATGCTGAAGGTTCTAAATAGTTATTTTTGGTCAGAATTATCCCAGTTATCACATTAATGAAATACACTGGATAATGCCCAAATCACTACTTAGTTTTCCTCCCGTACAGGTTAAACTGTTAGGTAAGGCCACACAGGTGGGGACAGGCATTCAAGAAAACATTATGCTCAGGCAGCCCCAAGGAAGCTCCCAGTAAACACTGCCTTCTCCTCTGGCCTATAACTGGTTCATGTGAATTTGGTGCAGCACTCCATTTTTCTCCTCCTGAGAAAATTCTTCCTGTCAGATCAGTGATTTCTTTCCCCTCCCAGTGTTCTAGAATCTCTTCTCGATCAGTACGGTACACTACATGATTGTGGCACACATACAGATAAAAAGTGGTGTGATACAAACGTGCATCAGAGGTAATTACACCACCAAATCATATCAGATAACCTGGAAGCACAGGTAGCTTATTTTCACTCAAAATTTTAGGATCACTATGGCCATTACTACTGTAGAACCCCTCGGGTCCCATAGCATGGCAGGCAGACTCTAGGGCTCACAAACGTTTGGGATAATAATTAGATATTTGCAGAATCCTTACAGTTTAGACAGAAAATGTTCCCAGTCTTTGAAATGAGAAGTGCTATGGGCCGGGGGGGGGGGGGCAGAACACAATGATAAGCATCCAGTCCCCAAACATTATTTAACACCAAAGCAGCAGTTTGACACAAATGCAGGCAAGCTTCCCAAGATAAATACCACTCAACAGCACCTAGGTCATGTTGTCTATATGACTGTGCTGGGGACCTTAATACTAATCCTTTTTCTCCTCAGCTAAAAAGATCTTACTTTTTAATTTCCACTTTTAAATAGAAAATTTCCCCTACTTCAGCCTTGTTTTAAATATTCATCCTCCCAAGTTCAGATTTCCCTTGCAACTCAATGCTCGGTACTCCACTCCTCCTTCCTGTCAAATTATTCCTTTGACTTGTTTCTACTTATATTTATAGGCCCACAAAGCCTTTTTTTCCAGATAACATGCAATTCCGAAAGTCTTTTCCATTATCCCCCATGTCAAAGTTTAACTATAAAGGTCAACAAGTACTATTTTTCCTGTTTGGGTTTAGGAAAGATACATTTTTTAAAAAAAGATTTTATTTATCTATCTGAGAGAGACAGAGATAGCAAACGCAGGGTTAGGTGGAGAGGGAGAAAAAGAAGCAGACTCCCCACTGAGCAGGGAGCCCCAGGATGTGACCAACTGAGTCACCCAGGTGCCCCTAGGAGAGATACATTTTAACTAAAATTTCACCACTCATAAAATTTCATCTTTGTATCTTTTCTATTCCCCCCACCTACACTCAATTGTTTAATATACAATCACAATGTAATTAAACTCCCAAATGTGTAATTATATAATCAAAGACTCCTTAAAAGTATATAATTTTAAGTGTGCAACACACACCCTTTATAACTTTAGTACTGGAACAACAGATTTTTTTTAAACTACTGGAGATTTCTTAGAGGTTGTGTTTGCTGTTTCTTAATGGTGAGGGAGCAGGGTAGAAGAATCATCATGTAAGGACTAACTGCTTTATAGAAAACCAGAAACTGTGTTACAACAAGATTCTACTGAAGACTGCAAACACACAAAACTCTTTATTTTCTTTAAAACAACGTTGGAATTTCCTAAATGAGAGCCAAAGATTCTATGCTTTGCCCATAAGAATACACAATACTAAATACTTCTGGCTTTCCTACAGAGACTTCATTTACCAAACCAGGGTATTTATAAGGTTTGTATTAACGTGGAATAGGAAAAACCCATCTCTGCATAAAAACAGAAAACTTTCTGTCCTTTAGAACACTTAAAACAGTATTAAAAGGACTTTAAAGAAGGTCCCTGAAATCTAGTTCTGAACTCAGAAAACCACCTAAGGGATAATTTGTGAATGCCATCTGGGATCCAGGCAGTTTCATCAACAAAAGGGAAAACTTGTTGAGATCATCCGAATCTAAAATTCACATACATTTTTACATCTGGACTGAATTAATCTTTTCTTAGTACTGGCTTTCATGTAATAAAATAATTGTTTGCAGGTTTTTTTTTTTTTTTTTTAAACCCTCAGTCTCAAAATCAGAATGTGCAGCATCCAAGCTGAAAACTACAAAGAATTCCTTTATCAAAAAAGTTGAGAGACGGGACTCATTTACACTAAACTCTGAACTTGACAATTCAGTCAAAAACAATTGTTTGAAAACTTTCATTTCAAGCATCTGCCACAAAAAGGCTACACAAGTCTATTATGTCATAAGTTCTGAAAGCCAAAGGCTTTATAACTGTAGTTAAAAGTGGAAACAAAGTCCAGAAACTAGAAAAACTCCACCCACCCCCCCACCCCGGCTTCCCTGGATTCAGCTAGCCCAATTGAATGAGTTTTTACAGGACGGGTTGCCAGAAATGATTACCTAGCACATGGACTCTGCTTTCAACCACAGTGTCTCCATCCTAGCCCCTATTGTTTTCCTGGAGAGCCAGGAGCATCTTAAACCAGCAAGTTCAAATTACATACTTGAAACTGGTAGCTTACCCAGGTTGTCCCCCCAAAAAGGGAATGGAAATAGAGAAAGATTTCCTTTCCCTTAAGATGTTTTGAGTTCTGCAAGAACTGCTGATTACTGTGGTCCATCAGTGTCAGATCTCGGGTATTTTTACAAGCAATTCAAAAGGGAGAAAATTAGTTCATATTACAGTCAGTCTGCTTTCTGGAGAAGACATTCTGCAGATAACTTACTTGATAGGAGATATCCCCTGGGGGACCCTTCTCATCTAATGATCCCAAAGGTCCATTTTAATATGAAATATAAATCCAATATGTTTACAAACATACTGAAAGAACATTTAAATGTCAGCTGTCTCATACTGTGGAGTAATTTCATTTTTAACATAATACTTTTATTTCTCAAAACCACACCCTAGGAAAATGATTAAGTGCTACAAGTTTTATACTACAAAGGACAACAGCAAAAGCATCTGTTTTCCTGCCTCTCTCCTCTGGTCTTCTCCCCTCCCCCAGTCTCTATGGAGCAGGCTGTTTGTAAGTCTTGATGGTTGTTAAAATTAGTTTCTACAATACTCTCATAATGCTGTAAATTCTGAAAAACTTCTTATCCTTTAACATTGCTGAGCCTGAATTTATGCGCTGCTCTAAGAAGAAAAAAATCCAAAAGTCAAAAGCCTTTTTAATGACAGATGTATTACGGAAAATTTTCCCCACAAAGTTTTGATGCTGTGAAATATCAACTCCCTGAAATCACAGAAAGGAAATGACTTACATTCTTGGAAAATGAAGCCACTAGCAGCTTTCTCCAACAGTATTTTCTAATCCCTAAACTACACCCTGTGGCAACAGGGAGTATTTCGTGCAAAAGCTAAATTTAAATAGATGCTTATAAAACCAATAAACAAACATTGTGGGATCTCAGAGAAAAAGGGACAGAATCAAATACTTTTTCTACACACTCAAAAAAAAAAAAAAAAAAAAAAAAAAGCCTGGAGAGCACAGGCTTGAAGTCAAAAGCAACCTGAGAACGCTTGCTGAAGTTTTCCTTCCCCGCTGTGGGCAATGCAAAGCTCCTGAGGGAAATATTGGCAACACAGATTTTGCCAAAAAATAAAAACGAAAAGGGTGTAAAAGAGCTAATATTTCTTTGGCCACTAACTACACAACTGTACGGTCTGAAAATCTGCCAGCTTTCAATTCAACTTTAAAATACGCTTGTTTTGACAGCTTTCCATTTATTCGTGCCCTTAAAGAAAACGCCCTCCCCATTAGGTTATGCTGTCCCGGGACTCGAGGTGCTGTTAAAAGCCCGGTGGATCTCACAAGGGTGGCCCCCAGCGGTCCATACCTGACAGTTCCTGGCCCTCCTCGAGCACAGGATGGTGGTCTCCTCTGCCCGGGGCCCGGCCTTCACGCCGCAAGCACCTCCAGGAACCCAAATTCTGCAGGCCGCGCCCCCCACTCGCATCCCACCGAGGCCCCCTTCTGGCGCCGCCGAGCCCCAGCTCAATCTCCCGCTCTCCGACCAGACACTTCAGAGACCGTGGGGCAGACGCCGCGCTCGGGTCTCTGCCCGCAGCCCGGCTGCCCGGCCCCGGCGCGCATACAACAGGCGGCACGGCACCCAGGAATCCAGGGTTTAGGGGCTGGCCGCGTCAAAGGCGCGACCGATGGGGCGCAACCGACAGGCGCCCCCAGAACAGGGCGCGGGAGACCACCGGGGAACCGAGCGCGGCACCGTGAGCCCGCGGCGCAGCCCGCAGCCCCGGTCGGCCTCCCGCCCTCGCCGCACAGGCGGCCCCGGAGCTCCCTGCCTCCCCCGCTGCCTGGCTCGGCTGCCCCGGGGCCCTGTCCTCCCGCCCCGGTGTGGGCGATCTCTGCCGGTGGAGCGGCGACCTTCCAGCCCGGTGCCCGACGCCCAGAGCCGAGGAAGCAAGAAGAAGGCGAAGAAAGACGCAGAGAAGGGGACACTGCTTTGGCTGGGGCTCTCCACTCGCAGAAACCCTCCCAAAGTCCCATCCAGCCGCCGCCGCCGCCCGGCCGGCAGGGGGCACAGTGGGCAGCCGGGGCGCGGTGGCCGGGCTAGGGGACCCCTGGGAGGCCCCCAGGCGCCGAGTTCCGGCTCGTACCTCGCAGAAAGCCCGGAGCACCCGGCGTCGGACTCTCGTCAGCACCCCAGCCCCTCCTGCTTGCACCGCGCCAGCCCGGCTCCTCTCAGCCCCTCTGCCCTGGCAGCTAGACCAGCGCTCCGAGTCCGCCCCGCCCCCCGCCCACGCCTCCCGCCCCGCCCCCAGAGGCTCCGCCCACACGCCCGCCCCGAGGTGGCGGGGGTGGCCGCGGAGCCGCGAGATCGGAGAGCCTAGCTTGAGGCCGCACGTGGAGCGCCTGCCGGCCCCGCCCCGGACCCAACCAACCGTCCCGCGGAGGGGTGTCGCCACTCGGGGTGGGAGAGAGCGGAAGGCACCACACCTCCCGGGTCCTGAGAAAGGAGGAGAGTGGCAGAAGGGCGCTGTGTGAGGACCACTGCGATCTAGGCCTTTCCCCACGCGACGGAGGCGGGAGGGGACGCGGTCAGTTTTCCCCTTCTGGCCGAATGGCCCTCTCCGACGCTGAGCCCCGGCTCCCCTGGAACGCTCCCTCCCGAGCCCAGTCAGGCTGGGCGGGGGTGGCTGTTTGGCCTGGGCATCGTCTTACTAATTCGGAACGACGGAGTGGAGGCCACTCAAAGAGGAGGCGATCCCAGCGGAGGAGGCTTCGTGACTCCTAGCTTCTCCCCCGTACTCCTGTCCCGCACCCACCGGCTCACCCACCACTCGGGACGCCGCGCCCTCGTGGGTTTTTATACTGGATGGAGGGGGCGCCGCCAGGAAGCCAAGCCTCCCCCGCTAACTCTTGTCTCTGCAATTGTAAAGGTAGACACAGCCTCTATTTGCTGTGGTTGTGGTTGTAGCGAATGTGACCCCTCAGAAATTCTTTTTGTCCGCCACCGAAGGTGGCTGGAGGGCTTGGCGGGAGGTGCCAAGGGCCGCTGGAAGTTGTTTTTATGGCACTAAGAATCGAATCAGGAGATTGAGGTTTGTCTCCTTTAGTTGCTGGGTCTGGGGAAGAGCTACGCCTCTTTGGTCAGCCTATGCCCGCTAGGACCTGCTCCTGGGAACTGGAGACACTGGGGGGCGGGGGGACCCAGCCTCCCCTGGACCCCAGGCCCTGGACGCGCTGTACTCCCACCTGGTGGGTTTCTGCCCTCTGAGGCCTTATGCTGACTGCTGACCCTGTGACCCCTGGCCCCACAGAGCCCCTCACTAAAGGAGGAATAGGGTGTATGTTTCCGGGTATGACAAATGGGTGAGGAGACAAACACAGGAGGACCTGAGAAAGGACATTACCCAAAATCAGATTTATGCTTGCAGAAGCCAATTTAAGGGCTCTGCTCTTTTAATCCAAACATCAGTATGTTAGGCTGGCTGTGACTGCTTGACAGTGCGCCTGTTTGTGTGCCTCCTTTACTTGGCAGAAGAAATTCAGTTTTGTGTTCATTAGGGCTGAAGCTAACTTGGAATAGTTGCCTCATTCACAGCTTTTACAATTTGGGAACCATGACACTGGAACTGAGTATTAGAAGCTGTGATCTTTTTTCACAATTGATAATACATTCAGAGTTTATTTCTGATAAAGCAAAGCAGTAGTGTCTAAGGATATTGCACTTAAAATTTAAAGTCATGACTTCGTTATGGAAAAGAGAAGAAGAGCTACATTTCAATGACTGCCTTCTAAATTAGTTGTATTTAATTAATAGACTAAAATTTAAAAATGGTTTATGGTAGTTGATGACAATGTAGGCATTTAAAAGTGGAGAATTACACTTTTCTCTCATTTTTATCTTTTACATGCATTCGGAATGAGTGCACAGTGAACACAAGTTGGTAAGGTCTTAAATTAATTTGATGTCTAATGAAATAGTCCAGCATTTCATATGTAAAGATAAATTAGTAATACTTTACCATCTTGGAAAACAGTTCCTAAATCTGATTTCTTTTTAGGCTTTCTCCATCTAGCAGATCAAGAACAACATATTGTTAGATTGTGAAACTTTGCTGCAATATAAAATAATTAGGTAACCCAAGGAGCAAAATATTTTAAACAGCTTAAAAAAAAACATATGTTTAAGATTGGGTTTATGGTCTAGAATTAGATTGTAGCAAAATTTACTATGTGAATATTTTTTGAATCATAATGGTCATATTAATAGTACCACAAAAAAAATGGACTCTTACACAATACATTTTGTAAACCAAGTACTTTAAAACTCTTAAAAACCGTTTTATAACCCCCTGAAACATCATAAAACTCTGAAAGGATTGCTTTGGAAAACAAGTAATCCACTCAAGATGGAAATGGAGCTGAGAGAGGATGGGTTGTTTTAGATATTTCTTATCACTGGAAATATTTTCCTGTACTTATTACAGTAATGAATACAAATTCAAAGGTAAAGTTATATTTAATGATTCTTTTTGATGTTGAGATATAGTTCTATTTTCATGAATATGATGAGATGTTTTCCTAAACATGAGACTGCCCATCAGTGAAATATTGCCTTAAGCACATCTTAAATTACTACTTTTTCCATGGCACGTAAATACTAACATAACTCTATATTTTTGCTTTTTTTTTTTTTTAAGGAAGAAGTTATTCATTCTATGAATTTATTGAGTATTTCCAAATGCCAGGTACAGGATTAGACTCTGGGATTCGAAGGTAAAAATATTCCTGAATTTCATAGTAGTTTGAGGGAGCAGGTGTGTGAGTAAGCGGTTACAATACACTTTAATGCTTGCCAGCATAGGGCCAAGCAGGAGGAATAGTGGGAAGGCTTAGGACCTTCAGAGAGGGCATCAGACATCCTCTGTCTGGATGAGAAGGATGAACTGAGATGGGAAGGATGAACAGTTTGCCTAGGAACAAGCTGTTTGAGGTGGTGGTTCTCAAACTTGGCCACACGTTGGAATCATGTGGGGACTTTCAAAAACTTTGTCCCAAGCATGTGATTTAATTGGTCTGGGACATGGCCTGGGGTATGTTTTAAAATCTCCAGATTATTCTAAGTGGAGACACATGTGGGAACCTTGCGTCATGGCATCCCTGGTAGAGGGCACAGAGTGTGCATGTACACTGGGGTGTGTGTTTAAAGCATGATGGCCAGAGTGTAATTGAAGAGGCTTAAGCTTTGGAGGTCGATATTTACACATTTTTGGCATAAAGAACACATTTATATGGAAAGCAAAGAGATGTGAGCTGCTATAATTCACATTCCTTTCCAAATATTTTCCAAACATTATACAAATAGTATTATGAGAAGTAAGATCAGCTCAGTTTTTTAAAAAGAAAAAGATTTACTTCTTTATCTTCCATATATAATTCAGGGTCATTTGAGACTCAGAGTATGTTTCAATGCTGAAATAGAAGTTCTTTTTTTTTTTTTTTTTAAGATTTTATTTATTTATTTATTTATTTGACAGAGAAATAGAGAGAGAGCACAAGTATGCAGTGCAGCAGGCAGAGAGAGAGGAAGAAGTCCGCTCTCCGCGGAGTTAGGAGCCTGACACAGGGCTCAATTCCAGGCCCCTGGGATCATGACCAGAGTTGAAGGCAGACGCTTAACCCACTGAGCCACCCAGTCATCCCTGAAATAGAAGTTCTAGACAGAGAAAGAAGTCAGTAATTTGACATACTGGCTTTTAAAGAAGACCTTACCAAAATTAAATACTATTCTTCATTCTGGATGAAGTTCACAGTAAAAAAATTAGTTCATTTTTCTTTTTGGTAACTTCTGAAGTTCCATTTTAAAGCAAAACAAAATACATTTGAAAGCAATCAAAATTCATTTAAATAAGTGCTACTCTATGGTCTTAAATGTCCATTTAGCTCATGTATATTACTTTGAAAGACAAACTAATCAGATGTGGAAACTTTACAGTGATGTAGTCCTGATTCGCACTGCCTAACATTTAAAATGATCTTCTTATTATTCTCAGTGGTATATCACTGTATTCTTTTAAAAACACCAAAAGAGATTCTAATACTCAAGTCAGGAAAATAGATTACCAAATAATTTCTCATTATTATGCACCAGGAGCCCCTAATTAATATTAATTATTCTGCAGAGGCAGACCAGCACAAGGCTTAATATATTATGGAGCAATCTAATGCAGAAAGATTTTACCTTTACCCAATTTAGAGACACAAAGTTGAAAAAATTAAATTAATTGAACTCTGCCCTTATGGCCATCAAATTTTGAGAAAATATTTTAAAAAGAGGATAATTTGATTATCCTGGGACAAAGTTTCGTTTTAATGCAACATGTAAAACTTCACAGGAGATGTATTCGAAGAGCCACCTTTCTTTCCATTCTATTATGATGTTAGTTTCACCAGAACATCACATTACTGTTCCTTGAGGGCTTAAATACTTGAATACTCCAGGCAAAAAGTTTGATAAGGCTGGGTGGGCCAGGCCAGGCCCTTCACTCTTGAGGAGAGGCAGTTTTAAGTGGGGGCAGTGAAGGTGTTAGCTGCAAAAGGTAGGATACCCCAGCCCTGAGGTCTTGGAGGTAAACAGGCATGGTGTCGGGAGGCCATGCTTGTTTGAGGGATACTGCTGTTAACTAAAATACAGTGAGAAATTTAGTGTGCAAATAGCATTTCTGTGTCATGCATGGGGCTTCACATTCTAGAGGAGGCTGAGGACAGGTACAGAAAATTGTCTAGTTGAAGGGACAAGACAAGGGGTAGGCTCCCTAGAGGGTAAAGCTTCAGGACGCATACCATTTGTGTTTGTACAATGGGCCCTAAAGGTCCAAGAGCAGTGCTTCAGCTCTCATTCCTTGATTACTCTCTGAAAAGCTGAAAGAAAACCTTCCCACCCCCAGAGATGGAAAGCAGCTCCCTCCACTCCCCATTGTGGGAGATAGATGTGCACTGAAAGGAAGTAGGAATCTGGTGACAGACTGGTTTCTCCAAATTTTGCCCCAGGCACACTCTGATTATCTATATCAGAGGGGCTGTTCCTAGAGGAGTCACTTTCAAACCCAAAGATAACATTACAGATGTCATTGAAATTCTCTTCAGTATTTTATGACATCTTATCAATTTGTGCCTAAGACACGCTGAACTGGAACAGGAGGAGATGGGAACATCCGTCTTCCAGAACACAGGCTTACAGCCAGGCCAATACTGGCTTTCTT